TGTCCTAGGCCCTTTTCTCCTCTTCCTCTATTCCTTGGTGATCTCATAAGCTCCCTTCAGTTCAATTACCTCTATGCAGAAATTCCCAAATCTACATATCCAGCCTTAACATCTCTCCTGAGCTCTAGTACAAACTTATCAAAGGCCTTATGGACATCTTGAACTGTGACCATACATATTTCAAAATTGCTATGTCCAAAAGAGAATTCATTATCTTTTCCCAAAAAGCCTTGTCCCTTCCCAACTTTCCCACCATTGTTAAGAGCACCATAATCCCCCTAGTCACACAGGTTTGCAACCTGAGATGTCATCCTTGTTTCTTTACTCACATAAACCCCATATTCATTCTGTTGCCAAGACTTGTCATTTCTACCTTCATGACATCTCTTGCATACATTCCTTTCACTCTTCTCACACAGCCTTTGGTGAAGGCCCTTATCACTTTATGCCTAGACTATTATAAAAGCCTTCTTGTGATTGATTTCCCTGCCTCAAGACTCTCCCTACTTCAATAAAACCTCTACTCAATTATCAAAGTGCTTTTCTTGAAGCACCAGTCTATGCCACCCTCGTCATCAACAAATTTCATTGGTTCTCTATTATTTCCTGGATAAAATATAAAAAATCCTCTGGCATTTAAATCCCTTTACACCTTGGGCTCTTTCCACCTTTCTACCTTTTCTACCTTTTACATTTTACTTCCCTCCAGAAATACTGGTGTTCTTGCTGTTCTTTACAAATATTATTCCATCTCTCAATCCTGTCCATTTGCTCTAGTTAGCCCTCATTCTTAGAATGCTCTCCCTTTTCACATCTGCTTCTTGGCTTCCTAGCGGCTTCCTTTAAGACTTGGTTCAGATCCTACTCCCACCTTTTACAGAATACCTTTGCTGGTTCACCCTCCACCTTGAATCTCTCCTTCCCTCAGTGCTTTTGCTTTGAAATTACCTCCACTTAAATCGAATATGTCTTGTTTCACATAGATGTTTGAATGTTGTCTCTTCCATTAAAATGTGAACCCTTTACACTAATGCCCTGTTGGCACAGTTGTAAACTAGTCCAACTGTTCTGGAGAAAAATTTGGAACTACTCCCAAAGGGCTATAAAACTATGCATACCCTTTGATCCAGTAATACCAGAGATCAAAGAAAGGGAAAAGGACCAATTTGTATAAAAATACTTATAATAGTAGGCAGCTAGGTGGTATAGTGGATAGAATGCCAGGCTTGGAATCAGGAAGACTCATCTTCCTGAGTCTGAATCTGGCCTCAGATACTTACTAGGTGTGTGGCCCTGGAGAAGTCCCTTAATCTTGTTTGCCTCAGTTTCCTCATCTGTAAAATGAGCTGGAAAAAAATGGCAAATGACTCCATTATCTTTGTCAACAAAAACCCAAATGGGATCACGAAGAGTCAGACACAACTGAAAAATGATTGAACAACAACAAAAACTTATAGTAACTCTTTTTGTTGTGGCAAAGAATTGGAAATCGGAGAGATGCCCATCAGTTGGGGAATGGCTGAACAAATTGTGGTATATGATTGCGCTGGAATAGTATTGGGCCTTAAGGAATGGTGAGGGAGGTGGTAATTTCAGAAAAACCTGGTGAGACTTATATGAACTAATGTGAAGTGAGAAGAACCAGGAGAACATTGTACACAGTAACAACAATATTGTAAGAATGATCAATTGTAAAAGACTTAGCTGCTGTAATCAAGACAATGATCTAAGACAATTCCAAAGGACCCATAAATGAAAAATACTATCCATCTCTAGAGAGATGATTTCATCACTGAGTGCAGATTAAAGCATGCTTTTTAAAATTTATTTCTTTTCCTTGTTTTATATGTGTTTTCTTTTGTAACATGACTAATATGGAAGTATATTTTGCTTGAATTCACATGTACAAACCATATAATATGGCTTGCCTTCTCAAGGAATGGGGGACGGGTGAAAGTAAGAGAATTTGGAACTCGACATTTTAAAAAATGAATGTTAATTTTTGCATGCATTTGGGAAATATTTAGTAAAATAAATAATAATATATTGAAAAAACTGTGAACCCTTTGAAGTCATGAATCATGTCTTTGGCTTTCTTTGTATCCACAAAATGTAGAATAGTGGCTGGTACAAGGTAAAAACTTAATAAATGCTTGTTGTTTTTATTGAAGCTACTTATTTCTTACATAACCTTAGGCAAGTCACTTACCTTCCCTAAGTCTCTAAGGCTCCTTCTGGCTCTAAATCTATGACTACCAGCAAGAAGGGTATCTCTGTTTGGGGAAAGGGTTAGATTAGGTCATCGACAATCCCTGGTAAATTCAGAATTCTACCCTTTGTGATTTTTATTGAGGAAAAAAACTCAAAATGAGTTAATTTTGAGTTACATTCCCCTCTTGTAGATTACTGTTGGTACTAGGAATGTCCATTATATTTGACTTGAGGTTTCTGTTATTGTTGTTATACTCATTATTTGCTTTATGCACATTGCATATGTAATTATTTTGGCTTGGTTTTGTTCATTCTGAATACACTCATGGAAATCTTTCCAATTTTCTTGAAATTCTTCATATTCATCATTCTTTATGGCATAATAATAATCCATTATATTAATATTACATGATTTGTTCAACTATTCTCTGGCACATAATTTATTGCCAGTTTGTTTTGCTATTACAAATAATACTTTTATGGATACTTTCTTATATATTGTTCTCTTCTGGCTGTCAATAACCACATGAAAGAATCATTCACTTTCCGAATCTGCCTTTATCTTCTCAAGTCCTTGCCTTTGATCAGTATCAATGACCAAAATAATAACTACCCTTCGAAGTTGTCTGGTCTCTTGCTTATAACTTCATAATCACTGAGTAGTAGCATCAGGTATGACAAATATCAAGAGGCTTTTCTTTCATCCTAAGGCATATTTTCCTACCCTCTACCCCTCTCACAAGTTGGGATTCTTCTCTGACCCTAAAGATCGTCTTCATTTTGTACATCAAAACTCTTCTTCTCTTTTGTGGTTGTTGTATTAAGGAACACTTCATATGAGAACGAGGAGGTATTCATAAGTTCTAGGCAGGAGACCCACCTGCTCTTTAAGAATGAATAGTAAGTACTGGGATATGGCAGAAAGTCTAGAATATGTTCCAGGTAAGTCACTACAAAGTGTTGCTGTTCTTCTTACCTTCTGAAAGTCAGGTCCTTGGTCTTTGTTGCTTCTGCTTGTAACTCTTAGTACAATATTTCATTTTTAAATGCTCTACAATGTATTCTCTCCCCTTTCATTCTGAAGTTGAGAGTGATTTATTGAATGTCCTTCATATTATAATTGAAACAATGCAGTGTGCGAGTCTAACTGTAAAGGAAAAGATCTACTCCTATACACTTGAAGCAATTCCAAGCTGTTGGTTATTTTTGATCAAATATAAACTACAGTATAATGAGGGTGTTCAGTGTTCAGCCAGGGGGTGTTCCATCCTCAGAGCATTTTCTGTCTGCTGCCAGCCCACGTGGAAGAGGATGGCAATCCCGCTTCCAGAAAGTGATGGCAAATTCAGAAATGAATTCACTAGGGCAAATGCTATATAGAAATTGCTTTATGTTTAAACCCACTCAACTCAGGGATTGAAGTGGCATGAGGGACAATATGAGCCCTAGTGTTGGGGGAAGATGCTTTGCAACTACTGTTCTTGCTACATATTTCTAGAAAATATCCTTTTGTAAAAGCTAATTGACATTAATTTTAATGAAACTGGAGTACTAATCACTGGTGGTTGACATTGGGAAGAACACACTGGGGACACAAATTAAAAAAAAATACAATGGGGCTTGTCCCTCTCTTAGCATTAGAGAATAACTCCAGCCCCTCAAAAATACTCCTAGAATCTTAAAGGGGTTAGGCTTTGAGGAATCTGTTTCATTAGCATGAGTGGGATTTGGGATGAGGATTTCCAGAACAATATAAAAGCCACAAAAAGAATCCCAAGCATATCTAATGTATCAGATTGAAGTTGAACATTCAGTTGAAATGTATTCATCTGAATAGTCAGGCCTAGTTAAGCCAAAAATCAAACAATAAATAGACAAAATACAATTTCCCCAAGTTCATGTCCTAGAGCATGTAATTCCAAAAAATTTAGTGTACTAATTAAAATCAATTTCATACAACCACAGAATTGTACAATGTTAAAACTACAAGATAATTCAAAAGAATATAAGAAATCAGTTCTAATCTTGGTTGTATTTCTTTTTAATTGAACCAGCTATATAACCTTGAACAGGAAATTTATCCACTCTGGATCCCAGTTTGTTTGTTTGTTTATTTCTTTGTTTGTTTTCTGTTAAAATGAGGAAGTTGTACCTAGTCCAGTTCTTCAATATTATCTAGACCTGCCCTTTCCATTTCCCAGATAAGGAAACAGACCCAAGAGATTTGCCCAAAGTTACAGAGCTAGTTAGTTAGTGACACAGTTGGCACTAGAACTCAGTTCTCTTTACTTCATTCATGCTTTGTGTCGCTCACTCATATGACTCCATGAATCAAGAATGAATTTCCCAAGGTGCATCACATCAACTCTTTTTGACTACATATTTCTGATGTGGAAGAATCCCTCCCAAAATTTCTGTCTTCTGCTTTCTGGGTCAGTTATTTTACTTGCCACTAGTCACACTCCATTCAACAAAGGCAACTTTTTTCTCCAACTACGTCTTTGACAGGGCATCCTGTACATCTGAACATGACCAAAGACTTAGCAATGCAACCAGGAGGTGTGATGTGACTTTAGAATTGGACTGAAGGTAAAAATCCTGTGATCATCGTATCTAGCTATGCATTTGCATTATCATTTCATAAGGCAAAACAGAAGGTGACATAAGCCCACTGCCATCCCTTAGTTTTTGACGGAACATATTCATCAAAAAAGCATGCAGTCCCCCTGAGCTTGCAGCCATATGCTACGGGAAAATGTCACCAGTTAAAGATGTATTCATTTGCTGTTTTGAAAACTCTGTTTGATATTCATGCATTCCAAGTGTTTTGACCTAGATTTCTGTAGAGGCATTAGATCCAGTACTGTGCAGGAAGCTAGACAGCTGTTGCTTGTGTAGTCAAAGGAAGAATCTAAAGTAAAAAAAAAAAAGAATAAAAAAAGAAAACATTTATTAATGGGTGCCAACATTTTGCACAGCCAATATGTTTAATACTAGATTAACTAATATAAGCATATGGGGATGCATTTGTTGCAAAGCTTTAAAGAAAAGAACAAAGAAAAAAGTTGGAAATATCTAAAGTTCACAGGGAATAGAATTTGCACTTTCTCCTATAAATGAAAGCTTGGTGAAATGGCAACATACTTTAATTATAAGCAAGTGGCTAATGTCATAGCATTTGGGTTTTTTTTCAGGGGAGATATGTGATATTCCACTCTCTGCACACATTTTGGCTAACACCAAGGCAGATAGATGATGGCAGATCTTTGTTGACATCAACTCACCTTACATTCTAAATAATATGTTCTTTTGAATCTTATCCAGTCTATTTATTCAGCTGTGAATTATCATACTCATCATTATTATTGTTAATAATTATAATAGATTCAATTCTTAGAAATTGTTGATCTTTCATTTCTAAATCTGACCAAATTATGTCAAAAAATGTAAGAATTGCAAAGGATCTCTTAGTCCAACCCATTCATTTTATAGAGGAAGAAACTGAGTCCCTAGAGATAAAATAGCCTAAGTCACTTACAGAGTGGCAAAGCAAAACTACTTAGTAGTAGGAGCAAGAGCAGTAAGAAGGCACCGGTAAAAAATAAAATAAAAGACTGACATTCACATAATGATTTAACATTTGCAAACACCTTTATGCACATCATCTCATAAACTCTTCACAACTCTGCAATCTTTCATCCATCAATAAAATGGTACCCATATGGCATCCATCAATAATATAGTGCCCAATAAGCAATGTTTTTCATTTGTGTGTTTATTTCCCTACAGGTATAACTATCCTCATTTTGCAGATGATAAAGCTGAGATTTGAAGAGTTTAAGTAAGATTCAAGCTCAAGTGTTTGCAGATACCATGCCCAATTCTCTTTCTACTATAGCATATGAAATTTGCAACATTTCTGTTTCCTAGTCAGGGTTTCACTATATAACCCTACCTTAGTTATTTGTTCTGACATTAACCAGTTATATGACCTTGAAAAAATAATAACTCCATTTTCTCATCTGTAAAATGAAAGGGTTGTACATCATGACTTTAAGTAAGGAGGAAAACCAGCTCTGTGAAGCCCAATATGAACGTGTGTGAAAACAAAAACCTTATGGTTTTGAGTTGATGGATAACTACAGACGGACTTAGAGGAAAAGAGATGATACCAGATTCTCATGAACTCTAAGTAAAGAATAGAAACTTGTTTTTCCCCAACTGATTCTCATCAATCTAGGAAGACCAACACTGAGCAATATTTTTTTTTCATCAAAAGGATCAGTTTCATGTTACTTATTAGGGGTCCGATGACAACCCACCTTGTTGTAGTATTAAAGATCAAACCTTTGGCTAGAAAATGATGGATATCTGAAACTGTCCCCAAACCATGGAAGACTTGTACAAACTGATACAGGGTGGAAGAAGGACCAGGGAGGGGAACAATTTATACTGTAACAACATAAAAACTCATAATTTTGAAAAAAATAAAAATAAAAAATCATAATTTTTAAAGCAGTTTCAGAATGCTGATCAATACAATGACCAACCATGATTCCAAAGGTATGATGATGAAGAATACTACTCAACACCTGACAGTGAAGTAATGGACTAAACATGAAAAATAGCAAACACATTTTGGGACATGGGTAATATGGAAATTTTGCTTGACCATAAATATTGATTATGAAGTGTTTCTCTTTTTTTAATGGATATAAAAGGTATAGAGAATAAATATTTGTTAAGTTAAAAATAAATCATAAATACCTCTTTTTTGGTTCATACAAATTTCAAGTCACTTTTGACTCCCTGACACTCTTTAAAAGAAAAAAAAATGATATCTTTTAACAACAATTTACAAATACTTCATTTCTGCAAACTTTTAAACATAGGATAAAGACTAATTTCTGTGCCTTGTATAAAGGAATGTAAAAATATATTTTGAATTAATACAAATATATAAGAGTATAAGCCATTCCCTAATGGATAAGTGCTACCAGGTTATAAACAGGCAGATTTCAAAATAAGAAATGGGATTTCAAACAACTATGAGGTTTCATCTCACACTCATCAGACTGGCAACAAGACCAAAGACAAAAATGATCATTTTGGAGGGGCTGTGTACAGACAAGTATGCAAATATATCATTACCATAGCTGTGAATTGGTCCAATTGAAATAGAAATCATTTGTAATTGAATCTCCCAAATCACTAAATTTTACATGCCTTTTTCTTAGCAATAGCATTTCTTGGCATAAAACCAGAAATGTTAAGAAATATATTTAAACACATTTGTAGCAGCACTTGTTCATTTTTTAGTAGCAAAGAACTAGAAACAAAGGAGGTGCCTAGTGATTGGGGAATGGCTAAACAAATTATTGGTACATGCATGTAATGGAATATTTCTGTGACAAGAAATGGTAAATGTGACACATTTAGAAAATACTTGTGAATACTTATATGCACTGATGCAGAGCAAAGTAAACAGAACCAAGAGAACAATTTACACAATAGCCACAGAATTCAAAGAAAAACAATATCCAGAGGCTTCAGAATACTGATGAATACACGGACCAATCATAACTTCGGGAGATTGATGGTGAAGCATTCCTCCCACCTTTTTTTTTTTTTTACAGAAGTGAAGAAGGGGTATAGAAGGAAGCATATATTTTCAGATATGACCAATGGGTTGATGTATTTTACTTGATTACACTTATTTGCTATGAAGGAGTTCTATTGATGATAGAGGTTAGGTGTAAAGTCAATGGGATGTGAAAGCAATGTATTATTTTTTAAAGAGTATCAATAAAATGTTCTTTTTTAAAGAAAAAAACTGTCTATTTTCTGTTGCTCTTGTACACATTGCAAACAAGGTAGAGGCTGTGGTACATTAATAACAGTCTATGTATTACATGTGGTAGTGTTCTGAAATATTTATTATCTACTACATGCTAACACTGTTTAAACCTGGAGAAAATATGCTGGATTTAGTCAGAGAAAGCGGATTCTAATTCTTGCTCTGCTAATACTAGTGGAGTTACTTTCCTTCTTTAGGTTCTAGTTTGGGTTATATTCTATAGAATGAAGAGGCTAGACTTGACCTCTAAACTTAAGATCCAGTGATATTTGGGATTATAAGAAATTATTAAATATGTATAATATTTTAGATATTTGTTCATATAACCTATTGACCTTGTTATAAAAGGAAAGAATCAAAATATGTTCAGAGGAATGTTTTGAATACCTCAGATTCTTTTTAAAAAAATCAGTGTTTTAATAATAACTTTCATTCCTATAACCACCTATGATTGATTAGAGAGGAGCAAGTCTCTGTTACCTGTTGTGAGTTTTCAAGGAGCTGATGTATTAACCTAAAAGAAAAAAGTCAGAAAAAATAATGATTATGATGATGTTGTTGCTGCTGACAAATGGAATTTATATAGAATAATAATGATAAATTGCATTTCTATGGTACTTTAAAGTTTACCTATTTTATCTCCTTTGGTCACCAAAACTCTGTGAAATATTGTGTCATTAAAAACCTGGAAAGAATTACATGAACTGATGCATAGAACCAGGAGAATGTTGTATACAGTAACAGGAATATTGTTCAATGAAGAACTGTGAATGACTTAGCTATTTCCAACAATACAAAGATTCAAGATACCCAATGGATTAATGATGAAGCATACTATCTGTCACCAGAGAAAGAATTGATATTGATTAAAAATAGACTGAAGCATGCTATGTTTTTGAACTTTTTTCTTTCATTTTTTTCTCTTTTATTCACATCTTCTTGTACAAAATGACTAACACGGAAATGTTTTACATAATGGTACATGTATAACCTATATCTGAATGTTTACTGTCTAAGAAGAGGGAGGAATAGAATTTGGAACTCAAAATTTTAAATAAAAATATTTTTAAAATTTTAAATGAAATAGAAAACAACAAAAAAAGAAAAAATATGCTACTATTATCCACATTTTATAGATGAAAAAAGTGAGGCTGAGAGAAAGATTAAATGACTTGCCCATGGTCACAGCTCTAGGATGTGCTTGAGTCAGCATTTAAATGCAAGGCTTCCTGACTCCAAGTCTAGTGCTCCATCCACTGTGTTGCCTAGGGTTCAGATTTCACTCCTGGCACTTATTGGCTGTGTGACCTTGGGCAAGTTACAACCTCAGGACTTAGGATCATAGATCTAGACCTAACAAGGACCTCAGAGACTATTTAGTTCAATCCTCTCATTTTACAAATGAAGAAACTGAGGCCCAGGGAGGTTTAGTAATTTGCTCAAGGTCGCACAGTAAAATATGTATCAGAGATAAGACTTAAATACAAGTTCTCTGACTTCAATTAATGTTCTTTCCACTGTTCCATGCTTCTACCTTGGGCCTCAGTTTCCTCATCTGTAAAAACAAGGCATTGGACTAGATGACCTCTGAAGTCACTTTCAGCTTTAGATCTCTAATCCTATGGTGCTACAAGAAATTATACACACACACACACACACACACACACACTCACACACACATAATATATATATATATATATATACACATATACACATACACATATGTGTGTGTGTATGTATGCATGTATGTATGTATACACACACACACACAACACAGGAAAAATGTGTTGGGATTGCTAATGTAATAGAAACTGCCAATCGAGACCCATCACAGAGTCCAAAATGTCAAAAACATCTTTTAAGCAACAGAAAACCCCACACCCAACAAGCACTGAAGTTATTGCTAGGAAGATCTTTATTCGTTAGTTTTCCTATTGTATATGTATTTATTGGCTAACTACATCTATGGTATAGAGGCCTGATGTGTTTATAACAGGGTCCTTTGTATAACAAGGTGGCAGGTTCAGTATGTTAATGTGATTGAAAAGATTGAATATTCAAATTGACACTACCAATTCTTTCATGAATATCAAATGGGACATTTAGTGCTTCTTGGAATATCTAGGAGAAAGCTGTGAAAAAAGAAATACTGTATCTGGTAATAATTGCATGGGTCACACATATAAACTCTAAAATAAACAAAGCTCAGACTTGAGGAAGAAGTTGCAATGTAAGGTAAAGGTGTGAAACCGACAGATGGACATAGCATTTTGACTATGATGTAGCTGAAAACTCACTCTACTTACCCTACTTACAGTAGGGACAATACATAGCAGGTTTTCGCATAACTACCGAGACAATCAGTAGGAGATGCCAGAAATTAGTTTAATACTAAGGATTAGAGAATACCAAATATTTTTGTTTCAGTAGCATTAATTGAATTATTTTCTTGATGTGGTTATGGAAGAAAACCAAATCTTAAAAAATATGGAGAGAAATCAAGGCTTTATAGTATTTCCTAACACAGAACTCTAGTATTAACAGTCTGAATCTCAAATGAATGTAAGTTCTTTGAGGGCAGGGACTATTTCTTTTTTTCTTATTGACTCTATTCATAAAGCCTCATATAGTTACTTCCTTTCATACAGTAGATACTTAAATATTTTTAATTAAATTGAATTATATTGTGCTTGAGAATTCTGAGGACCAAGTGGTTGTTTTAATCATTTACCTGGGGTCTAGGAACAGAACTTTTAGAGAGTAGTTATTCTATTTATTTTACCAATCTAAATAGCTAGGTCAAAAGAGTTAATAAGAAAATATGAATTTTTTTTCATTTAATCCAACCCTCTCATTTTACAGATGAAGAAACTGAGGTCCAGGGAAGCTAAGTGATTTGTCCAAGGTCACACAGTAAGTATGCATCAAAGGAAGGATATGAATACAGGTGCTCTGACTTCAATTAGTGTTCTTTCCACTTTACCACACTGCTACCTTGGATCTCATTTTCCCCATCTGTAAAACCAAGTCATTGACTACATGGCTTCTGAAGTCCTTTCCATCACTTAAACTGTAATATCATATGGCCCAATTCATTCCAGTTTGAAATTAATGCAGTTAGCTGTAGAGCAGCCAGTTTGAACAGTTGGATTTAGAAGATGCAGAGTCAAATATATTCCTTTCTACAAGTTGGCTTAAATCACTCATGTTACTAGTATGAAGAGAACTTAATTAATAAAGCTAAACTGTCATGGAGTTATTCTTTCATAAAGACTTTTAATGGGGTATCCTTCCTTACCTCCTCTTCTATCTATCATCAGAAAAAAAGAAGATTCCCAAGAACCTTGGTACATCCTCCAGGAGCTGTTTGTGTTTCTTTTTCTTTTTATTTAAGCCTGAGTGTGCTTGTGTTGTTTTCTGATTTGGCACTAAGGAAAAGCTGACTATGGGGTCACTGAGTATGTTGGTTAGGTTGCTAAATATTTTTCTTACTTTTAACTCATTCTAAATGTTTGGGTATTTAAAAAAAAAGACATACCTAACATAGGAAAGGATAAACAACAGAAAATTGACTAGGAATAATGACAACTCAGTGTCCATGGGGTGATGGCAACTGAGTAAAGTACCTAGATTTAGAACCAAGGCATACCTTTTATTCAACTGGATTATAAACTTGAGGTCAGAAGTCATATTTTCTATTTCCTGTATAGCCTTCCTTATGTGAAATCCAGTTTAGCACATGGAATGTGTCCACTGTCCATGACTTCCTTGACTTCTTCCCATGCTTTCAAGGTGTTACTTTCATCTTCAATTGCAGGATTGACTTAAATACAAAATTCCCAGAAACGAACTTCCTCAGTGAAGCTGCGAGGAAGGTAGTATCACTGCTATCATGGCTGTATATATTCTATAGTTTACCAAATGTGAGCTGGCATGGCCAATGCAAACCAAATATGATTTGTTCTTGTTCTTTAATCTGTTTGCCTCAGGTGAGTCATAGTAACCTGAACCCTAAAGCCCTTTGGTATGAGACTCTCTCCTTATTGGAGGAGTTTAATGTCCCACGGCTGTGTGGTCATGTGTGGGAGAGGTGTGGGGACATGACAGAGTTGGCAAGAACATGATAGAAGAAGATTGGGTTCTCCTGGTTTCCAGCTTTGAGAGAGAAGATCCATGCCAACTTCTCTTCAGAATGCTAAAGGGAGAGAAAAACTGAGAAGAAGGCAACATAAGAGGAGCTGACAAATCTCTATCATGTCATGTTCCTATCCTCAATTTGCCATACGAGAGACTTCAGGAAAGTTTCCTGCTGGTGAGATCTAGAACTCTTCCTTGGTTGAGCTATGGTATCTCACTCCCAATGGGAGAGCTCCTTCAATCTGTTTTGCCTGTTATATATTCTCATATGTATAATTTCTGTGATTTGCTTTGCTACAAACTTAGATAAATAGGTTTCTTTGCTATTTCCTATGTGTATTGTGGAAATATCATTTGGTGGGAAGGGAGTCAAGCCTTGGATATGAAGCTTGGCACTCCTTTTACCTTCATTAATTACAAGTAACCTTAAAGTTACTTCCCCTAGACCAGGGTTGGGGAACCTGCAGCCTTGAGGCCACATGTGGCCTTCTAGATTTCCAAATTTTTGTTCTGTAAATATCTGTTCTGTAAAAATCCAAATCTTTGTTCTGTAAAATTTGGACTCAGTCAAAAGACCACACTTAAGGACCTACAAGGCTACATGTAGCCACAAGACCATAGGTTCCACATTCCTGCCCTAGACTAACAATATTTAAGGAAGCAGATAGCTATGATTCTAGCCCAGGAATCCTTCTCTGTAAGAAGAGCAAAGTGGCTAGTCACTGGTTTCAACTTCCTGCTTCCCTTCTTGGCATCAATTAAAATCTTCCAGAAGACTTGGAGGAAGAGATACTAGAGATGACTAGTTTTGCTTCTCTAAAAGCCACATTAAGACATCCTTATTACACACACAACATCAGGAGATAAAGAGAAAAGCCCCTAGATATTGAGTGGACCCTGTAGAGAATTTATAGGAGGAAGTGGGCAAGAGTTGAATGGGATGATAGAGCATTTATGAATTGTGCCCAGTAAGCACAGAGGTAGTATTCACATTAGTTACCTTGACTTCTGGAGTTTAAAGGAATCTTAGAGCACAACTAATCCAATTCCCTCATTTAAATGAAGTTGAAAGGATTGAATGCCTTATCAAAATCAAGCAGACAGTCTGTGCCAGGGCTAAAATCAGGACCCAGATATTTTGACCCAATTCTCTACATACCACACCAAAGAGCGTGCATATACAAAACAACTGAAAAACAAAAATAAGTAAAAATAAAATAACACTTGATAGCTTGAGTTTGATTATTTACATAATAGGTGATCAAAAGCTAGATTTCTATGATTACCTCTATTTCTTGCTTCCCTCAAATTCACTCTTGATTTTCTTAAGCCTGTGGATAATAGGTCAGTCTTTTCTCCAGTATATCAAAGAATCTGTAACTGT